CATTTTCCCACTGCCATCTCCTGACACCTGACTGTACATGCCTTTCCTTTAACATAATGAATTATTTATTAGCAGGACTATGCATCTCTTTATGTCCTTCTCTCCTTTAAAGCCAGATTTGTAGGTATAACCTTATGTGTGATAAAGTCCTTTATTATATATTTCAACAGGCAAGTAAATACCCTATTTTCAACCTAGAATGCAACATCCATAAAATACAAGTGTATTTTAAGGGATCAACAGGGCAGAGTGGTTGTAAGCATGAAATCCTGAAAAAATCTTCAAACCATGGCTGCTGTACAAGTTTATGCAAACATGGCAAATGCAAGGAAAGCCTATAAAATCTTGCTAAATGGTATCTGAGAAATGACTTTGCCAGAGATGAAATGTTGAGTTAAAATAAAAAGCAGGAATGGCTCTGGCCGGTGGGGTGGTGGCTGGGAGCATCGTCTCCACACAACGAAGGCTGCAGGTTCAGTCCCAGCTGGGGCACATGCCGGAGTGAAAAGATGAATGTATGGATAAGTGGAACAACAAACCAATGTTTCTCTTTCTCTCTCTCTAGAATCAATCATTTTTAAAAAATCTGGATCAAAGCCCTGGCTGGCGTAGCTCAGTGGATTGAGTGCGGGCTGGGAACTAAAGTGTCCCAGGTTCGATTCCCAGCCAGGGTACATGCCTGGGTTGCAGGCCATAACCCCCCGCAACCGCACATTGATGTTTCTCTTTTTCTGTCTATCTCCCTCCCTTCCCTCTCTAAAAATAAATAAATAAAATCTTTAAAAAAAATAGCATCAATAATATTTTTTTTTAATCTGGATCAAAATAAAACAGTGAAAGTGATTACATTTTGTTTGAAGTTATTTACAAGTTTCCCAAAGCTTATATTAATTCATTTTAAATGTTTTACCTAATTTCATAATAAATGGGATAATAAATATAAATATTTCTTCTTTAAAAAACAGCAGAGACCTGGCTGGAGTAGCTCAGTGGATTGAGCGCAGGCTGTGAACCAAAGTGTCGCAGGTTTGATTCCCAGTCAGGGTACATGCCTGGGTTGGAGGCCATGACTCCCAGCAACCGCACATTGATGTTTCTCTCTCTCTCTTTCTCTCCCCCTTCCCTCTCTAAAAATAAATAAAATCTTATTTTAAAAAAAGAAAACAGCAGAGAAAAATACTAGCTTAAGCAAATACATTATTAACTTCATCTATGTTTATTCATAGATTGGAAAAAATTATGTTTTTCTTACCCCCATATGACTTCATGATTAAAATTTACAAACCTAAAATAAGCTAACATCTTTCTAAGCATCTGAGGGGAAAAAATTAGTTCTTTAAAGATGAAACCAGGTAATTAAATGGCTTTCATCGGGTCCCTAATATGACAATCTCTAAAAGTAAGTTAAGTATTTATTTTTTTAATGATTTCACTCTGGCCCTGGAAAAAAAAACACACCACATAAAGCTGGCTCCAGGAGAAGCCTGTCAATGCCCAAAGGTGCTTCTTCAGCAGGTAGTAGCTACCCTTGGTATCAGCATTGAGAAAATGAGCAAAAAATGAGTTGAAGATTCTGAGTCCACGGCCTGCTGTAACCTGACTGCAAAACTTCTCTAAAGTTCTCACGAGGGTATAGTTTCTAAAATGCTACCAGAAACACATCATTCCTCTCTTAGGGAATCTTTTTAAATTTTACTACATTTAAAATTTCAACTACCTATTAAGTTTTTTAAAAACCTTATATTTAAATTCTACAGGTCTTTTTAATGCATGCTTATTTTTAGTCTTCAAATTATCTTAGAATCATGACTCTTCTTTAAATACTATTTTGGCCTGGGGACAGACAATGTTGGTTTACACACATCCCAAACATAAAATCAGCCAGGACGTAATTGGGCAAGGGTATCCCTCAGGTCATTGAAAAGCAAGTATTTGTGAAATCAAACCATGGTCAAGAATTCCAGTGAACATGTTGCTTTGTCCAGATGCCCAAGTATAATGAAAAGGAGAGCATGATGATGTCACAAGCCACCCTTTTTCAGATCCTGAGTACTTTTCTTTGAAGTGTGTTCTTTTGGGAACAGAATTATACCACTCAGTGTAGGCACGGGGCAGAGCCCTAAGTATCAGGCTAGGCCAAAAAGCAATCTGGACTGAGAAAAGACACGACTAGAAAAAAAATCACTGACTTCATCCTCTTGATGTTGCACATCTTCAGGCAACATTGCTCACTTGCACTGCTGTCAGAGCAGTCTGTGGCCTGGGGAGGAAGGCAGCAACCCTGCTGGGTGCTGACTCAAAAACAAAACGACCTGTAAAGACTGAACCATGTTGCTACACTGCAAATTACTAGTGTCCAACCTGAACTTAGTACAGTACTTTTCTGTTGGCATTCCCATAAACTGGTCCAATTATTTTTAAGTAAATCGCATGTGTTAAAGGAGCCTAGAAATAAGCCAAAGATTTATTGTATACTTGGCCTTACAGACATAACATAACAACATCATTTGCTGTAACTGAAAATGAACAAAACTTCCTTTTGAAAAATTAGAGCACTCACAAAGCATGGTTTTCAAAAATGACTTCCACATGCTATCATCATTGGAGGGTCTTAGTTTACACGATTGTTTTGGATTTACTTTTTAAACAGGGAATATTATTGAGACTGATTTAGGTCATTTAAATAGCACTCCCAACTAAAATATATATTATGGTTAAAGGATTGAAATAACAGGTCTCACTATCAAATAATCAAGTGTAATAATTATTTTATTACCTTAAAATATACTTTTATATACATGTATAAACCAGTCATTAGAAGCCTAAATTTGAGTAACATTTATGCCAAAAGAAATTCAAAATACATTATGTAAATAAGTATCACTTGGTAAAAACCCTCCTGATAAACTCTTATTAACCTCCTGCTATATAGAACAAAATATGCCTCAAGGTTTTTACAGAAAAAAATAACATTGTAATTGATATTTGCATTATTCTGTATTAAGAAACCAGAGTTATACTATTCCTATAAAAGACTGTTTTCTCATTTTTCTCACTATTGCTGAAGAAAGTAATACAAGTAGTTTTTTAATACTAGTCACTTTCTGTACTTCCTAATTTTCTTAGCCTTTCTCTGACGCTAACCAGTATTGACTAGTGAATTCTTCATACAGGTCTCTTCTTCCAGTATAAATTTATCCTTTCATAAAATATTTATTGCACACTCATTATGCTAGGCTTTGTATTAAAGACTGGAAGCCAAGTAAACTCAGACAAATTCCTTGCCTAAGAGCTCATGGTCTAGCAAAGGCAGAAGACAACTGCATTTAAGGTTTACTGTGCATGGTCAATACAATGACACAGAAAAAACAAACAAACAAACCTAGAAGGGTTGTTTGAATCAAGCTGGAAGGTAACAGTTATACTCCATTCCATTAAATAAAGCCTACCTCCTTCATCAGGGAGGTGATGGCTTGCATGGCTTGGTTTGCGCTTGTCTTGGCAAAACAATGATGATGGGTACAGGCAACATCTCTGGGAACATCTCTGGGAATTACAATCATCATCCTGTTTCCTGACTTCACAAGGTTTAGCATCACTGAATTTAAACAGATCAGCCTAAAACCTAATCTAAATTGGAAAATACCAAGTCCAGCTGCTGTTAAGAACAGACATGTACATGGTAAGAGAAACAAGAACTAGAAATTTACAGCCTGATACACAAAAGTCATATTTCTAGGCAGAATTTTTACCACACATTTATGTTTTGGCTTTTAGGCATCAGAATAAAAATAAGATGTACCTGAAAGTATAAATGCTTATAATATTATGCAGTACATTTAAAAAGCAAGTTATGTCATAAACGTCCTAAACTGTAACAACACAAAACAAGTCACCCCCCCCAAAAACTGAGTACACTGTTAAGAAAAACATTTTTGATACTATATGCAAAATTATCATTAACATTTAAAATGCCAATATGCACCCCCCAAAAATAAAAAGACTTGCCATGTAGAAATGCAGTGTGTACATTTCAATTTATAATGTTACTTGCTACCCATAGTGCCTCAGGAATGGGATAAAATAGACTGAGTTCCTTCAACAATATGTATGTTCTTACCAGTGTTGATACAAAATCAAAGCTTATTATTTGCTTCCAGTACATTAGCCAGTCTTTAAAAGAACCTAAATAAATACCAAAACACTAAAGAAGACAAGTGTCTATTTACGATATTCTAGTTTTATAAATACAGTCATTTCAAACAGGAGAGCCTCATTTGAAGGGCAGGTCTACCCACATATTCGATCTATGCCATTCTTCAGACCATTTGTAAGGGAGTTCAGATTTCCCTGGTCAGGGTGACCTTCCAAGACTTAGCACGGCCCAGCCTGCCTCACTCAGGTGAAATGAAGGCAGCGGGATCCAGCACAGCTGTTTTACTCCCGCAGCCCAAAGACAAGAATAAGTAACACCAAGCAGAATGCAGATTGCCCAGCCCTTGTCAAATGGTTTGGCAGCGAGTTCTAACAGTTCCCTCTCTCATCAAGGAGTGGTTACATTCAGCAAAAGGCTGAGGTACCCCAGATTCTACACCCTGAAACTGTGTGTCCTCGACACAAATCCGCTCATCGCCTTTGTGGACTGTGGGACTGTCACCGAAACCGGGGTTGGCAATAACAGCAGTTTTGTAAAGTTTGATTAATACATTCCAACCCAGCTGAATGTCGCCTTACAGTGCCGAGACTTGAAGACTCTTATGAATCTCCCTCCCCCACAGTCATTGCCTCCCAAATTCCAGTTTATACATTCATTTCCTGGGCAATTTTTCTCTTGTGGGGAAAACAATGGACTCTTTCAATCTTCTCTTATCAACAAAGCGCTCTAAGACGAAGAAACAATCCTTTCCATAGCATCCTTTCCGACTTCTTTATAAATGATGAGGGGGCGGTGAGGGTAGGGGCACCGGCGCCGAAGAGGGAAGAGGTGACAGGCAACTCACCTCTTTCAGCTGCTCCAGCTCCTGTTTGAGGCTGTCATACTCAGCCTCCAGCTCGTCATACTGCTGCTTGAGGGTCAGCTTCTCTTCCAAGACCACCAACCCGTACTCAGCAGCCTGGATCTTCTCGTGGGTCGTCTCTGTGAGCTCCTTGGTCAGCCTCTCTATTTCAGCCTTATAATGGTCCACAGTCTGCAATACCTCTTCTGCGGCCATAGCCCCGGTGGATGGAGGCAGGAGGGGGTCACAGGATCGGGAGACAGATGCAAAGCCGGTGGGATAAGGGAGAAGGAAATGGGGAGGAAAGGAAAAAAAAATGGAAAAGCAAAGTGTGGCTGGATGAACGAGCAGAGCAATATCCTGACTGCTCCTCTGGCGGCGGCAGCTACACCGCCCGAGAAACTGACGTGAAATGCAACATGAGGAATGCAGGGGAAAGGATCAGGGGCGAGGCAGCAGCTGCAGCATGTGTCCTCTGGGCCGGCCCCTGTGTGTGGTCAGTGGCCATGCGGCATGGCCCTGGCTGCGGTGGCCAGGGCGGCGAGGGGCTCGGTATTCTGCTTATTCAGAGGCGCCGGCCGCCATGTCTCCCAGGCAGCGTCACTGCAGTCTTCCCGACCCCGCACGCTCGGGCTCTCCTCTCGCTTGCTCCACCTGCTCCCTCTGGCTGTGCTGCAGCCAGTGCAGAATGATGCAGTCCCGGGCCCACTCCCCCCGTGAGCTCGAGGCCGGACCCAGCTGGGGGCGGGAGGCGGATGGAGTCAACGCAAGGGGAGGAGGGAAGGATCCCACGGAAACATCCCCAGGCGCGTCCCACCAGGGGCACGCAGGGCCACCGCCGACTGCACCACGGGGTGCGCTGGACGGAGGCCGAGGAGGAGGACCGGCAGGACGTGCGCCGGCAGGGAGCCTCCGCCCTGCCCCGCCCGCCGGAGCTCCCTGCAGGGCGGGAGTTCCTCCCAAAGCGTTTTGCTTGGGTGGGCGTCAAAGCCCCCTCCCCCCACCCCGCCCGACAGCAGCGTGGGCGTCCCTGCCACAGGATCCTGAGCTCTGCAAATTGTCTGGACTACATGCCTTCCCTCAAAGAAAAGCAAACAGTAACTAAACGGTTCCAGTCGCGAGCATCCTTCTAGTCTGATCTCTCAGCATTCTGCCCTGGCCTTCTGCTCCGAAATGCTCTGCTTCCAAAGCCTGCCAGATGCGCCCCAGGGCGACGGCTTCCGCCCCCTCTCTTCCTCCCTCTCCCTCCTCCCTACATTGCCCTGGTTCACTCCATACTCAACAAGCTTATTTCCACCTGAGGAAACTCTTTACTAAAGATTCGTTGCCCTGGTCTGAGCTTTTTATGTCCAGTTTATCACAAGATCAATAATCAGGGCAAAAAACAAACAAACAAACAAAAAAAACAGCAAACCCTATGATACATGCACCCAGGAAGCCTCTAGATGCCATTGTTTCTTGCCCCAGTAGGTCTACTCTATGGATTGTTCCGTAAGAAAAGCTTCATCAAGTTTCCTAAATACAGTATCAATAATACCCTACAATAAATATTTTTTCAAATAACAAGAGTTAATAGTTCTTGAGATCATGCACTAAGGATTCTGAGTATGGCACATGCATTCTCTCCAATCCTAACAACAATTCTCTGGGGTAGAAACTGTTATCCACAAATTACAGGTGGTGAAAGACAAAGTTGAGTGATTTCCCAAAGTCAGGCAATCTTAAGCAATAAAGTGAAAATTGAATCATAACCCTGAACTAGATCATTATGTTGGCTTCACCTTCATTAATTTCTAACACAAACCCAGCAGCTAAATTATTATATGCTCTTAAAACAGCCACTTTAGTCAAGATGAAGAGTGATGATGAAAGTCACAAGAAGAGGTCAAGGCAAAATTGGTAAGTGAAAGAGAATAAAGAATAGAGAAGAGATAAGGATAGAGAACAAACTAGAGGAAAGGAGGAGATAGGAGTGGGAGAAGGGCAATTTCTGAGTAACTAGGAGGCCATGGGATCAATAGACCAAGGGCCAGACCAGTTCCTTCCCTATCTCCTGGGTGGCAGCTATTCCACAACTATTTCCCAGTGGTCCGGAGTTGTTCATCTCTCTCTCTCTCTCTCTCTCTCTCTCTCTCTCTCTCTCTCTCTCTCTCACGCACACGCACACACACACGAGCTTTCTGACTTAGAAAGCAGGATTCAACTCTCCCATCATTGTGTTCATGGTAAAGAAAAAAAGACAGTTGCTGATGGTGTGGGAAGAAAAGCACATGGCAATGCCCTTACAAAGCCTTGACTAATGAACAGGCTCCCCTGTGTGGTTTTCACTGCCTCTGAAATGGACAAGAAAGCTTCCTTCCAGATGCTGACAATTACAACATAATATTGTCTGATAAGTGAAAGAAACAAAGAAAAGAAAACACTTGAAACTTGCAACCACCATGAATCCAACCTGGCAAAGAAGCAGAAATAACGATCACATTATGTCACCTACCCTGCCCTGACCTCACACAGCAATTGAGAAGCCCCTCCTGTGTGCTTCTGTCGTGCCCACCCTCTATCACAGTAATGAATGATCACAAACTGCTGAAGAGAAAAGAAATCAAACCTGTAACTGCAAGTAGCTAAACTGCCTTGTTCCTGGTGTGCTCTTGGCCCATCCTTACTCCACAGAGGATCATAACACTTGGAGTACATTGCCTGCATCTCCCTTTCCTTTGGCTAGAACAAAGAATGTAGTTTGCCTCCATGACTTTCTAAGTGTCATCGCTGCACATTCCCTACGCTCCATCTGTACCATTTTCCTGACTGATACACTTTTGTTAATACATGCAGTCTGACTTCTTCAGACCGTACACTATTCCAACACTTTAAGATTTTGCTTATTACAACTTTGATCCTTTCTATGTAGATATTAACTTGAAGAAAGAAAACTTATTCCCTTATACTGTACACCATGCTCTTCTTATACTGCACAGCTACATTTCTCTTGTTCTCATGTATATGTCATATGTTCATGTATATCATATAAAAATATAGAGCTGGCATGGCTCAGTGGATTGAGTGCCGGCGTGCAAACCAGAGGGTCGCCAGTTCAATTCCCAGTGGGAGCACATGGCTGGGTTGCAGCCTGGGCCCCCAGTGGAAGGCATGCAAGAGGCAGACACACATTAATGTTTCTCTCACTCTTTCTCCCTCCCTTGCCCTCTCTCTGAAAATAAATAAAATCTTTTAAAAAGATAGAAATATAGGTAGGAGTATAGGTATAGACAAATATAAGTAGATTTAGATATATAGATATATCAATGACAAGTATGTAGAAAATCAGTTTTAAAACCATTCTTGGAAGTAGGGTTCCTTCATATTTCTTTTTTAAAATTGTATTTTATTTATTTCTTTTTAGAGAGAGGGGAAGAGAAGGAGAGAGGGAAACATCAATGTGTCGTTGCCTCTCACACACCCCCCTGCTGGGGGCCTGGCCCACAACCCAGACATGTGCCCTGACTGGAAATCGGACCATTGACCCTTTGGTTCTCAGGCCAGCACTCAATCCACTGAGCCACACCAGCCTAGACTTCTTCATATCTAGCAGCCTCCAATTACCTATGGAAATTTCTTACTTGTAAATATGTAGGAAAAATTGTATTCTGTGATTTAGTACCTCAAACCAAACTCTCACCAACTTTGTCAGCATAAATATTGTATTGTCTTACTCTCGCTCTTTCATTCCATTATTAAGCAGATAGTTATTATGAAGCACCCATTATCTCCTAGGTATAATAGTAGGCATTGTGAAATCAATGACCGGTGAGACATCAATGGTCAATGGTCCCTGACTTTATGGAGCCTCTGTTCTGGGAGGAACACACAAACAAAAAAGAAACCAAAAAAAAAAACCAGACAGACAAGAAAAAAGATAAATTAATACAATAATTCCAATTTGTATCATAGATAGGAAGGATACAGCATAGTGGTTAAGAGAAGAAGCTAGTCCGATGGGGTCAAATCCAACTTAGCCACTTACTAGCCGTGTGTGTCTAGGTTGCCTCATTCTTAAAAAGGGGATAACAGCCCTAGCTGGTGTAGCTCAGTGGACTGAACATGGGCTGTGAACCAAAGGGTCGCAAGTTCGATTCCCAGTCAGGGCACATGCCTGGGTTGCAAGCCAGGTCCCCAGTGGGGGCCACATGAAAGGCAACCACACATTGATGTTTCTCTCTCTCTTTCTCCCTCCCTTCCCCTCTCTCTAAAAATAAATAAATAAAATCTTAAAAAAAAGAGGGGATAACAATAAAACTACTGATGAGACTGTTGTGAATAGAATGATATTTGACCCCTAATAAGCAGCGTATGTGTTTCGTTTTGTTTTTAAGTTTTTGAGGAAAAACAGGATAAGATTGAGGTAGGAAAAGGAAACAACCAGAGGATCAGTGGAGAGCTCTCTGAAGAAGTGAAATTTACCTTAATATGGCAGGAACGTGAAAGAATTGGACATGCCAAATGTGGGGCGAGAGCTTGCCAGGCAGAGGGAACCACCTGTGAATAAGCCTGGAGCAGAAAAGAGCTTGGTGAGAGCAAAGAATAAAAACCTGAGTTTGAGGCTTACTAAGCAGGTTAGAATAAGGAATTAGGGTGGTGTACACCTGAAACTAACATAATGTTATATGTCAATTGTATCTAAATTTTAGAAAGAAAAGGATGCAGTCTTTCAAAGAGCAGACATTTACAAAGTAAAAAACTTTCCAAGGCAAATGAGTTTCCACCACACAAAAATGAGAACAGACAAGATACTTCTGTTTAGCTTTTTAGCATGCATTAGAAAAATCTTTAGACATCAAAATTATGACTAAACCACTGAACAACCATCATGCAGAACTGCCTGAAATCCAGCTGAATGGAAGTCCTTCAACTAAGGATATAAAGAAGACACCACATCGAGACTGAGCTGGCAGGTGGGCCCCATGTCCAAGTCTACATCCACCTGGTTCCCACTGTTTTCCCCGCCCTGGGTTCCCTGGGGCCCCACCACCAACCCTACTTGTGGGCACACCCGACCTGTTCCCGGTGGCTTTTCCATACAAATGACCTGTCTTGGCTCATGCCTCAGACTTTCCTAAAATGTCTCAAACAAGCAGCATCTGGCCTCAGCCAGCTGCATACCTCTCACAGTGGCCCCAGGCCTGGCACTAAGGGAAGCCAGCCTTAGTTCACTGCTTGGCCTCTCCTGGGTGCCTCCAAGTCCAGCAACCGTAGCAATGATCTGCAGATTGCTTTGTAGGTCATGCAGGAGGCCCCAGGCAGAGCACAGGCAGTGGCTGGCCATGGCCTGCAATTCCTGGGAGGCCCCAGAGCTGTGGCACCCGGTAGACAAATTCAGACCATGTCAAAGCACCATCCAAACACTTCCACAAGCAACACACTCAGGCAGGAGACTTGGGGCACCAGAGCCCCAGTGAAGTAAGTCCTGCTTATGGGGTGGGCCCCTGCACAGCTGAGCCTCTGTGGTTGAAGCCAGTCCTTGCAGCTGATCAGCCTGAGGGTAAATTCCTCTCAATGATGGGCCAACAGCAATCAAGACTCAACTACAACAGGAGGGTGTACACAGCCCACAGTGGGGAGAGAGGGGTGAGCACCTGGAGTGCCCAGCTCAGTTGAACAGGGAGGTCATGCCACCTGATCCTACAGGACCCTACTACATTAAGCCA